GGAGCAGGAGGTGCTGGATTACCTGCTGGAGCTGGTGTTGCTGGAGGTACTGCGGCTACTGGTCCTGGAGGTGCTCGTACCCGGGTACTCGAGCTGCCGTGACTGGTGGTGTTGGGGGCACTAGAGCTGGAGACCCTACGGAGTCTGGAGCTGCTGGAGCTGGAGGCTCTGGCGCTCGTGGCGCTGGAGCTGGAGGAGCTGGAGTTGGAGGCACTGGCACTGGAGGCGCTGGCGCGGAAGGCGCTGGAGCTGGAGGAGCTAGAGCTGTTGACCCTGGCGGCGCTGTGCGGCAGCGACCGTACTTCGATCCCCTTCTTCAGCAGGTTCTTGGTGACCCGTCTTCTACTGGCCTTACTCCTCCCCTCCTGTGTCCACCGTCTGACCAGTCGCAGCTGCCGTTACAGTCGGCCTCTCCACTGCCTGCTCCTTCTCCTTACATTGAGCAGTCCGGCGGTCTTACAGAGTGTCGTGAGCCAGCGTCTCATCATGTCTCGCCTGTTCGCACTGCTCGTCGCGTTCCTCGTTCGCGTCCTCCTCCTGTCCCCGGCACGTACGCTATGGTACTTCGTCCTTCATCTGTTCCGCTGCGTGTTCCTCTGCCTGCTCCTCCTGAGTCCTCTCTTCCTGCCATCCCTGACCCTGAATCTGACCACGCTCATGCTTCCAATCCCACTGTCTCTCGTCTCCTTGCCACTACTGTCACTGACCCTTCCTTTGAGTCTGATGCTGCGTCTGCCCTCGTTGCTGAGCTGCTTGACTTTGCTGCTGTCTGTCGTCTCGACTACGCCACTGCTCTTGTTGCTGAGTCTGCGTCTGCCAGTCCTGCGTCTGTCGGGGGTGAGTATGCTCTTGGCACAGACGTCCTTGAGGACAGGCAGGAGGACTTTGAGTGTCTTGCAGCTGCTGTACCTCGTTTCGCTTCCATGTTGCTTGCCCCTGAGGTAGACCCGGATGCACCAGACATCCCGACCTCGCGCTCTTACGCAGAGGCGATTACGGATCCTTACTCCTCTCAGTGGCAGGCAGCCATGGATACCGAGATGGCATCCTGGAAGTCCACAGGCACCTACGTCAACGAGGTTCCCCCACCTAGGGCGAACATAGTCGATGGCATGTGGATTTTCAGGGTGAAGCGGCCGCCGGGTTCTCTGCCTGCCTTCAAGGCGCGTTACGTTGCTCGAGGCTTCAGTCAGCGACAGGGGGTTCACTACTTCCATAACTTCTCCCCCACCCCGAAGATGACCACTCCTCGGGTGTTGCTGCACGTCGCTGCTCAGCGTGACTACGAGCTGCACTCTCTGGACTTCAATACAGCTTTCCTGCAGGGCAGCCTGCACGAGAAGATCTGGCTGCGCCGCCCACCTGGCTTCACTGGGTCGTTTCCTGCAGGTACCCAGTGGAGCCTCCGGCGGCCAGTCTACGGTCTCCGCCAGGCGCCTCGCGAGTGGCACGACACACTGATGACTCCACTTGCGGCTCTTGGGTTTGCTCCTTCTAGTGCTGACCCGTCGCTGTTTCTACGCACCGACACCTCACTGCCGCCGTTCTACGTCCTCGTGTATGTTGACGACCTCGTCTTTGCCACTGCTGACACTGAGGCACTGACCCTTGTGAATTTGGAGCTGCAGAAGAGACACACCTGCACTGACCTGGGTGAACCACGCAGCTATCTTGGCTTGCAGATCACCCGGGACAGAGCACGGCGCACCATCACCCTGACTCAGTCACACATGGTGCACAAGGTCCTTCAGCGCTTCGGCTTCCAGTTCTCCTCACCACAGCCCACTCCTCTGTCTACCAGCCACTCGCTCTCAGCTCCATCTTCGGACGAGTCCGTAGAGCCGAGTGGTCCGTACCCAGAGCTTGTGGGTTGCCTCATGTACCTGATGACGTGCACACGACCTGACCTCGCGTACCCTCTCAGCCTTCTGGCTCGCTACGTGGCTCCCGGTCGGCACCAAAAGGTGCACTGGGATGCTGCGAAGAGGGTACTGCGCTACTTGTGCAGTATGTCAGGCATGGGGCTCGTGCTTGGAGGACGGGGTCCAATTGTCCTCACTGGTTATGCAGACGCTTCTTGGGTGGACGACTCAGCTACGCAGCGGTCATCACAGGGTTACACCTTCAGCCTCGGTTCTGGCTCTGTTTCCTGTCGGTCTACCCGCTCGTCTTCGGTTCTCAGCTCCAGTTGTGAGGCTGAGATCTACGCAGGGGCCATGGCTGCACTGGAGCTACGCTGGTTCACCTACCTGTTGATTGAATTGGGAGACCAGCCTCGTTCGCCTCCATTTCTGTACGTAGACAACAAGGCCATGATTGCCTTGTGTCAAGAGCACAGACTGGAGCACTGAACGAAGCACATCGCTCTGCGATACTTCCTTGCTCCAGAGTTGCAGCAGCGTGGCCAGCTTCGTCTTGCGTATGTGGCCACTAGGGCCAACACTGCTGATATATTCACCAAGGCACTTCCGCCTGGTGATCATCAGCGCTTCTCTACTGTGTTAGGCCTTGTGCCTACTTTGCCTCACTTGCTTAGTGCTTGACTTTGCTTGTACTATGATCTTTATATATATCTTCATGCTTGCACTTGCTAGGGTATGATCACAGTCTTGTTTGTTCTCTTTTATATAACTTTGCATGTGAACTGGCCTTTTGGCGCTCTGCTTGTGCTCTGAATGTGTGGTGACTTCGTGATCCACCATGCGCTTGCTTTGCCTTTCTTGACTGGTCTTGTGACCACTTGCTCTCCCCCACTTTGCCTATGGGGGTGTGTCAAATTCATATATTGCTTACATTGTGTAGGGGTACAAAAGGGGTACAACCCAATTAGGGTTACTACTTGTACCCAACTCTTTGCTAGTCCCTTCATTCTCGTTCACTATTCCGACATTTTTTCTACAGGAGGCATACGACGGGATTACCTCATGACATTTCGGAGTAGAGAAATTCCGGGATTCCAGTTGACAACAGTTGACACTCGTACAATGAATGCATTGAGCAGAAAGTTGGTACAAGTACTTACCCTAATTGGGTTGTACCCCTTATGGGCTACCCCACTACGGCCTACACAATGTAAGCATTATAACATTTTGACACACCCCCATAGGCAAAATGGGGGAGAACAAGTGGTCACAAGACCAGTCAAGAAAAGCAAAGCAAGCTCATGGTGGATCACGATGTCACCACACATTCCGAGCACAAGCAAATGGCCACAAGGTCAGTTCACATGTAGAGTTATATAAAAGAGAACAAACAGTACAGTGATCATACCCTAGCAGTTGTAAGCATGCAGGTATATATATAGATCACAGTACAAGCAAAGTCATGCAGTCAGCAAGTGGGGCAAAGTAGGCACAAGGCCTAAATCAGTACAGAAACGCTGATGATCACCAGACTGAAGTGCCTTGGTGAATATATCAGCAGTGTTGGCCCGAGTGGCCACGTAAGCAAGACGAAGCTGACCACGCTGCTGCAAATCTTGAGCAAGGAAGTAACGCAGAGCGATGTGCTTTGTTCTATGCTCCTGTCTATGCTCCTCACACAAGGCAATCATGGCCTTGTTGTCTACGTACATAACTGGAGAAGAACGAGGCCGCTCTCCCAAGTCGGTCAGCAGGTAGGTGAGCCAGCGTAACTCCTGTGCAGCCACGGCCCCTGTGTAGATCTCAGCCTCACAACTAGAACTGAGAACAGAAGTCGAGCGGGTAGACCACCAAGAAACAGAGCCGGAGCGAAGGCTAAAAGTGTAACCCTGTGACGACCGCTGCGTAGCCAAGTCGTCAACCCAAGAAGCGTCTGCGTGTCCAGTGAGGACAACTGGACCTCGTCCTCCAAGCACGAGCCCCATGCCCGAAGTACTGCACAAGTAGCGCAACACCCTCTTAGCGGCTTCCCAGTGCTCTGGTCGGTATCTCCCGTGCGCAACGTAGCGTGCCAGGATGCTAAGAGGGTAGGCAAGGTCAGGTCAAGTGCAGGTCATCAGGTACATGAGGCAGCCCACAAGCTCTGGATACGGGCCACTCGGCTCTACGGACTCGTCCGAAGGTGGAGCTAAGAGCGAGTGACCGCTAGGCAGAGGAGTGGACTGTGGCGAGGAGTACCGGAAGCTGAAGCGCTGAAGGACCTGGTGCACCATGTGTGACTAAGTCAGGGTGATGGTGCACCATGCTCTGTCCCGGGTGATATGCAAGCCAAGATAGCTGCGCAGCTCACCCAATTTAATATCACCTCATTAGGCCGTAGCCAATCCATTCCCAAGACAATGTCTACGCCTGCTAGGAGGGGTAAGACAAAAACGCTGATGGTCTGCTGATATCCTTGGATATCCAGGTTGACCAACGCATGTCCTCTGCATGGGATGATCCTGTCATCCCCCAGGCGGATAGAACAAGATGGTCCTTGAACAGGAACATTCAAATATCCCATCCACTTCTCATCGATTAATCACGCAGTTGCACATGTATCAACCAGGATTGAGGCCCTGCGCCCGTTTACGCGACCCGAAAACAAAAGGTTTTGCTGATGTTTGGGTCGAATAGGACATGCTGTAATATTAGTGGGAGGCAAGTAATATGCCTTAATGCCATGCTTGCTATGTCCAAAAGAACGAGCCTGTGTCCACCATACATGGTGTCCTTTATCCCACTGTTCTAACATGCTCCATCCTTGAAGTGCTCGAAACAATTTACCTAGAATTGTGCGCGTTACGATTCCAACCGTAGTTAGAGGGTGCGCTTGGGTGCAACGACCTACCACATCCATTATCCAAGGCAAATTTTGGTGATCACAAATAATGATTGAGAATTTATATCGTAATGATTCAACTGTGATATTTTCCAGTGGGTGAAATCGAGAGGCAAACAAAGAACTTTTATTAAAAGAAAATGCATACACACATGCAATTTTGCAATCAACAAGGCACTTGAGTTTCAACAACTCCTCATCCCGCAGGACCACTGCCTCATCCTCTCGATCTACTATGCCCGCCAGGTACCCACCCCCTAGTTGGGCTTTGCAAAATCCCGCTGGCTGCCCGAGGGGCCACTGCCATCATGGCGCTTGTTGTCCGACTTGCGGTGGCGGCACTCGTAGCCCTTGTGTCCAGGCTTGCCGCACTTGAAGCAGCTCTGGACATTTCTTGGTCCACCCTCGTTGACCTTCTTGGCCTTGTGGTCAGCCTGCTGTCTCTGCTGGAAAGGCCTCTTGTGGTTCCCGCCCTTCCAAGGCGTTGCCTGCTGCCTTCCGCTAGGACCCGCAGGGCTAGACGACGGCATTGAGGCCTGCTGCGGCTGGGTAGTAGTTTTCGCATAAGCACAAAAATGCTTATCAGTGGTCCCCACCACACGCTTCACATGATCGTAGGATCTCCACGACTCCCCAGCCCCATCCGTCATGTGCATGCTCTGGAGGTGCTCAGGCAGGCCCTTGAAGAAGAGGTGGATCCTCTCGCCTTCGCTCATACGTTCCGCCGGTTTCTGCAGCACCCAGATCTCCTCGAACTCCACAGCGTACTGCTGAACCGTGCGGTTCCCGCACTGCAGCTTCTCAAGGCGATTGCGCACCTCCAGCTGGGTCGGCTGGACCTGGAAAGCTTGCTTGATTGCAGAGGCGAATTCCTCCCACCCAAACGGCTTCCTATCCGCCTCAGCCTGGATCTTGCTTCCATACACCACTCGCTATGCATTCTGGTCCAGCATGGTGGTGGCAGCGACAACGCGAGCGTCGTCATGGACCTTGTGAGCCTTGATCAGGTCGGTCATCATCGACAACCATGCTGCCACATCCGTATTGCCATGGATGAATGGCGGGAGGGTAATTGGCAGAGAGCGAAAAACATGCGTGTTCGGCTCAGCAGCGCGCTGCGTAGAAGGTCCGGGGTCACCCGCCACACCACCAGAGCGAGAGGGGTGGGTGCGCCCGCTAGTAGAGTTGGCAGGCGGGTCCGCTTGTGGTGTAGGGCGAAACATGGTCTCCCTTTGTAGGGCCCTGAAAGCCTCATGCAACTCGTTGATCTTTGAAGTCTGTCTCGCCAGCTGATGAACGTGCTCCCGTGCGTCGTGTTTAATGTTCTTAAGCTCAACTTCCAGGTACTTGATTTTGTTGTCCTGGTCAGAGAGCTCCCTCTTGAGGTTGGTAATGAGTGACTGTTGCTGCTGGATGCGCGTATCCTGCTCAGCAGCATGATCCTGCAGCTTAGCAATTTCAGCATGCAGAATGTCCTCTTCCCCTTCCAACTGAATGTCATCCTCCTGAGACTCCTCTTCCTGCTTCTTGGAATTTTCAGCAGCTGGAGGGTTTTTAGCAGGGGAGTTTTCAGCAGGTTCCTTTTCAGCCATTTCCTCATCCATGTTGTTCAGGTCAATCTTCTGCACACAAGCTTCCAGTTCAGAATGGGAGTTGGTGCCTTCAACACCACCAGCATTGGAGTTGGTAGAAGCCATTAAGAACAGAATCACTGTATTATAAAAGTAAGTTACAGATCTACTGCAAATTGTTATCACCGCAGTGAATAACCAAGATTTTCTCCAAAGGAGAAATTTCTTCAATAGATCTTACAACCACAGCAGTGTGAAAACCCACTATGTTGCAAAATATCCTTACCACCGCAGTGGATAAGGCAAGAACAATCACAAAGTGATTGTCTTCAACAGAAAGGGTTAATCCACACAGGTTGCCAATAACCAAGTTCTTCACAGTGGCTCCAGAAGTTCCACCAACAGGGAGGGAGGGAGGGAGCAGAAGACTTGGAGAAGCTTGCAAATTTGGAGACTTGAGCTGGAGTAGCTTGTAGTCTTCACAGGTTTATAAAAAGAAGATTACAATGAAAAGCACAATCTCTCCAAGAAAAACAAAATCCAGAAATTTTCTTGGATGCCCACAAGGAGAGGATCTCCCTAAAGCTCTGAATACCAATGTAACAGATCTACTAGCAAAAGGGGCATTTACCCATTTATCAATAGGTTGTAATACAAACAGAGAGTAGCAGCTCATGGAAATTACTAAGTCTGAAGAGTGCTAGGAGATTCAGTAACAAACTCTGGAAGGTGAGTTGATGAGAGAAGAATCTTATTTCCCAATTGATTAGTTGGGGATAGGAAGTGGAGAATGAGCTTGCTTGGCTCAGACCCCTCCCTAGACCCCCTTGGGTTGCAGAAACCTCCCCCATGGCAAGGAAGGGTGCACCACCATGGGCCTTGCCCATGTGGCAAAGGTTGATCGTTTTACTCAATGACATGGCACACAATGGAATAAAATGCTGTGTATGCAATATGTTTTCCATACCTGTCATGTTTTAACTGGTTGCAATTTCAAAGGAGAGTTGCATTGGAATTAGGTTGGGAGTTGATGATTGGCTACAATTCCAACCAGCGGCGGAAGTTCCGTCGACTCACTTTGGGTGAGTATGTTCTGATTGGCTAGACAAGGGTGACATTTGAACTTACGTGGGTTTTGTTCAAACCTATCGCGTAGGTTCAGTCACTGTTATGTAGCAACTTTCTGATTGGTTGCATTTCCAATCAACTCCAAAGTCCTCGCTTCCAATCAATTTCAAACCAACCATGTTTCTCCCCTTGTTTCCCTCTCACAGCTGGTTCAATGTATCGAGACCAGGTGGGGGTAGGTCCAGATGTTACAGGTACCTCAAGCTCCAGCAGTAACTCCAGCACCTCCAGGACTAGAAGCTCCAGCACATCCAGCTCAAGTGCCTCCAGCTCCAATGCCTCCAGCGCCAGGGTCTCCAGCTCCAGCGCCTCCAACACCGCCAGCTCCGACAGCTCCAGTGCCACCAGTACGAGCACCTCCAGGACCAGCAGCTCCAGCACCTCCGGTACCTCCAGCTCCAGCAGTAACTCCAGCACCTCCAGGACTAGTAGCTCCAGCACCTCCAGCTCCAGTGCCTCCAGCGGCAGAGTCTCCAGCTCCTGCAGTGCCACTCCTAACACGTGTGCGCTGAGTAAACCACTTGCGCAGCTGCTGCGGTGAGAGAGGCTCCCGCCGGTGAGACAGTCGTGGCGAGGCACCCGCAGGACCTCCGCCAAACGCAGTACCCCTAGGCTCAGCACCCCCGGACTCCGCACCCTCACGCTCAGCACCCCCAGGCTCCGCACCCTTAGGCTCAGTACCCCCAGGCTCCGCACCCTCAGGCTCCGCACTCGTAGGCTCAGCACCCCCAGACGCAGCACCCCCAGACGCAGCACCTCTAGCAGCACCTGAGTCTACAGCGACCTTGACAGGCACAGCCAGGGGGAGTGGGTCTACCTGAGACACACCTGAGGGAGCACGACCCTGGGGGGGGAGGGGGTCTACCGGAGGGGGGCCTGGAGCAAGGAAGAGCGGCGGGAGGTGGGGGAGAGGGGCAGTGCGGTAGGGGAAGAGACGGTAAAAGAGAAACGACTCGCCAAACGTGACGTCCTGAGAAGGGAGGACATGGCGCGAGGTGGGGTGGTAAAACTGCCAGCCAGGTGTGTCAAGGGGAAAGCCAAGGAAGATGCACGGAATAGCGCGGGAGGAGAGCTTGTCTGTGGAAGTATCGCGGACAAAGGCACGAGAGCCCCAGACCCGGAACACCAACACATCACCAACCTTCCCCGTCCAACTTAATATAGGCAAGGTCTCCGGCAAGGAGACACGGGGCCAGAGGTTGAGCTGATGCGCAGCGTACCGGACCGCAAACGGCCACAGAAAATGGGGAGCAGCAGCATGGATCATGGAGGTACGAGCCACCTCCATGACTAAGCCTATGCGGCACTCAGCAACCCCATTTTTCTGCGGGGAGGCCGGAAGCGTGAACGACTGGAGGATGCCCTCCCCACGACAAAAGTCCCGCAAGAGGTCGGAGGAGAACTCACCACCTCTGTCAGAGTGCAGACGAAGGACAGGAAGGTCCTCGCGGAACCGCTCGCGGAGCAGGAGACAGACTGCGCGGATCCAAGAGATCAAGACATCAGGGACCTCACCCTTGCTGCGCAAGGGGAAGACCGTGGTGTAACGCGTGTAGTCGTCAACAACCAGCAGGAAGTAGCGCTCGCGGTCCTGTCCACTGACGCGGGCTGGGCCCCACACGTCCATGTGGAGAGTCTGCAGGGGAGCAGTCGTCGAGGGAAACGAGGAAGAGTGAGGAGCGGCACGGTGCCGCCCCTCGACGCAAGGAAGGCAGGGCGGGGCAGGCGAGGGCGGGAGGGGGGGCAGAGACCTGGGAAGACCAGAAACAAGGAGGCGGGAGTGCATGCCACGAAGTCGTGGCAGGGAGGGGTGACCAAGGCGGTGGTGCCAAAGAAGAGTCAGGTGCGACAGGAGGCGACACGAGCAGGGGGCTGCTACCGGACCTGATGCAGACACCTGAGCAGACGCAACAACCTGAGGAGGCTCAGTTGTCAGTGGGTACAGACTCGACCCAGGCCGACGCGTGAACGTGGCTGTCCAAAAGAACGAACGAGAATGAATGAACTATGAAACATTTGGGTACAAGTACTAACCCTAATTGGGTTGTACCCCTTATGGGCTACCCCACTATAGCCTACACAATATAAGCTATATATAAGTTTGACACACCCCCATAGGCAAAGTAGGGGAGAACAAGTGGTCATAAGACCAGTCAAGAAAAGCAAAGCAAGCTCAGGGTGGATCACAACGTCACCACACAGTCCAAGCACAAGCAAAGGGCCACAAGGCCAGTTCACATGCAGAGTTCTATAAAAGAGAACAAACAATACAGTGATCATACGCTAACAAATGCAAGCATGCAGGTATATATAGAGATCACAGTACAAGCAAAGTCACGCAGTAAGCAAGTGAGGCAAAGTAGCCACAAGGCCTAACACAGTAGAGAAGCGCTGATGATCACCGGGCGGAAGTGCCTTGGTGAATATACCAGCAGTGTTGGCCCTAGTGGCCACGTACACAAGACGAAGCTGGCCACGCTGCTGCAACTCTCGAGCAAGGAAGTACTGCAGAGCGATGTGCTTCGTTCTGTGCTCCAGTCTGTGCTCCTGACACAAGGCAATCATGGCCTTGTTGTCTACGTACAGAACTGGAGGCGAACGAGGCTGCTCTCCCAAGTCAGTCAGCAGGTAGGTGAGCCAGCGTAGCTCCTGTGCAGCCATGGCCCCGGCGTAGATCTCAGCCTCACAACTGGAGTTGAGAACCGAAGACGAGCAGGTAGACCGCCAGGAAACCGAGCCGGAACCAAGGCTGAAGGTGTAACCCTGTGATGACCGCTGCGTAGCTGAGTCGTCAACCCAAGAAGCGTCTGCGTGACCAGTGAGGACAACTCGACCCCGTCCTCCAAGCACGAGCCCCATGCCCGACGTACTGCATAAGTAACGCAGTACCCTCTTCGCAGCATCCCAGTGCACCTTTCGGTGCCTACCGGGAGCCACGTAGCGAGCCAGGAGGCTAAGAGGGTACGCGAGGTCAGGTCGTGTGCAAGTCATCAGGTACATGAAGCAGCCCACAAGCTCTATGTATGGACCATTCAACTCTATGGACTCGTCCGAAGGTGGAGTTGAGAGCGAGTGGCTGGTAGACAGAGGAGTGGGCTGTGGCGAGGAGAACTGGAAGCCGAAGCGCTGAAGGACCTGCTGCACCATGTGTGACTGAGTCAGGGTGATGGTGCGCCGTGCTCTGTCCCGGGTGATCTGCAAGCCAAGATAGCTGCGCGGTTCACCCAGGTCAGTGCAAGTGTGTCTCTTCTGCAGCTCCGACTTCACAAGGGTCAGTGCCTCAGTGTCAGCAGTGGCAAAGACGAGGTCGTCGACGTACACGAGGACGTAGAACGGCGGCAGCAAGGTGCCGGTGCGTAGAAACAGCGACGGGTCAGTAGTAGAAGGAGCAAACCCAAGAGCTGCAAGTGTAGTTCTCAGTGTGTCGTGCCACTTGCGAGGCGCCTGGCGGAGACCGTAGACTGGCCGCCGGAGGCTCCACTAGGTACCAGCAGGAAACGACCCAGTGAAGCCAGGTGGGCGGCGCAGCCAGATCTCCTCGTGCAGGCTGCCCTGTAGGAAAGTTGTGCTGAAGTCCAGAGAGTGCAGCTCGTAGTCCCGCTGAGCAGCGACGTGCAGCAACACCCGAAGAGTAGTCATCTTCGGGGTGGGGCAGAAGGTCCGGAAGTAGTGAACCCCCTGTCGTTGACTGAAGCCTCGAGCAACGTAACGCGCCTTGAAGGCAGGCGGAGAACCCGGCGGCCGCTTCACCCTGAAAATCCACATGCCCTCGACAACGTAGGTGCCTGTGGACTTCCAGGATGCCATCTCGGCATCTATGGCTGCCTGCCAATGAGAGGAGTAAGGACCTGTAATCGCCTCAGCTTAAGAGCGCGGGGTCGTGATATCTGGTGCATCCGGGTCTCCCTCAGGGGCAAGCAGCATGGAAGCGAAACGAGGTACAGCAGCTGCAAGACACTCAAAGTCCTCCTGCCTGTCCTCAAGGACGTCCGTGCCAA